CTTGGCATTATCACAGAAGAAGAAATACTCTTTTTTCTTTTCTTTATAAGGTGGAGTCTAGCTGTGATCCTGCCACGGCCTCCCAAGTAGGTGGGACTATCGGCACATGCCATAGTGCCTGGCCTTTAGGAATGGCTGGGAATTGAGGTGGTTCTTAGAGTGGGCTGGTACTCCAACCTGGGCCTCTCATAGGGCCTCAGCCTGTTGAGTACCAGTTATACTACTGTGGCTGAGCCAAGAAATACTTTCGTATGTTCAATTAAGAACATTTTAAATTTAAAAAAAAAAACATAAATAAGACATTTAAAAGCCACAGCCTAGGGACCCAGCAGTTAGCGTAATGGCTATGTCGCTTGACTCCCACGTAGTTGACCGTGGTTTGCGTCCTGGACCTGGTGGCTTAAAACTCACGCCGGGTGCGTGTGCGTGCGTGCCCAGGATCCCGAGAGGAGAATGGAGGAGAGGGGATTGCAGCGTGACCATCCCCCCTGGGGGGTGATTTCTCGCTTTCTGTCTCTATGTCTCTCTCTCTGTCTGGCGAGCGCATACGCCCTATAGCGAAAACCTCTCTCAAAAAAAAAAAAAAAAAAAAAAAGCCATTGCCTAATTCTACTCTGGCATCCCAAATTTCTAACTACATTTCTGGGAAACAACAGCAATTTTATGCTCATCCATGTTGATAGTTTAAAAAATCTGGACCTAGTTTCCATTATGCAGACAGCCCAGTCACAGAAGCCAACCAGTATTTTAAGACTGCAATGTTTACTAATGGATGTCTGGCTAGAAACAGTGTTGGCAGAATCCTGGCAGAGGCATTTACTCTCACTAATGATGTAGAACAGGATTGCATAATTATGTCCACTTATATTAAGTCTGTTCAATACTGTCATATTTTGCAAAGGAACCACAAACAAACACCCCAAGACATACTGGGGTTTTCCTGCCGAAGGCATTGCATCAGAACTGCTACGCACATTCCCAGAATCTTTGCTCTAGTCCTTCATTTCATTTAGACCATCTTTACAAAAATGACTTTACACAACACAGTGGACATAAGACTATTTTATAGGATATTTGTGGACATGAAGGCAGTATATATGGACCATCCCAAGCCAGGAAAGAAATCAAATGTTTCCCTGGAAACACAATGCCAAGTACTTTTCTTATAGGTATATTAACATTACCCTAATGTAGAAGGACACCCCCTGCTCTAGGAAACTATTGCCAGTTATGCATTATATTAGGTCATTAGGAAAGTCATGACATATTTTTCTGTGTTTTTCTATGTAAAAATGTGTCATGACTTTCCCAATGACTCAATAATTTTTTTCCTACCTGTATGAAAGACTGGAAGCATCAACAATAATTTGTCAATAAAGTCAAACAGTGACATTCATTTTGACTGCCTGGACATTTTTCTGTATTACTCTGCTGGAGAAGAGTAATTTCTGTCTATTAAAAGATTCCATACTTAGATATGTGGGAAGTCACTTGGTATTTAATAGAATTCAAGTCACAGTCATAGCCCTAGAAAGTAATTATTAAAGAGATAGGCAAGGAAAATGAATAACAGCAAGCCTTTATAAAAATAAATCCAGGGACCAGCGGGTGGCACGGTGTTTGAGGTGCTGGACTCCCATATGGTCAACTGTGGTTTGAGTTCCAGGCAGCTTGCCTACCCACTTCCTCTCTCTCTGTTTCTCTCTAGTGAGCACCCACACCCTCTGGCAAGTTTCTCAGAAAAAAAAAAAAAAAAAAAAAAGAAAGAAAGAAAAGAAAGAAAGAAAGACCCAGGATTATCTGAAACCAAATATTATGGTTATTCCAAATGAATTGACACTTGGATCTAGGGTAAGAAAACATCCAAACTTCTTCCTCTCTTTCTCCTTTCCTCCGTCCCTTCCTTCTTTGTCCTTTTCTTTTCCACTCTCAGAGGCTTTCAATATTCCTTATGTATGTCTATTGTAACATTCCAGTGGAAGGGGGTTCAGGAAACAATGTGCTCAGATCCTTGTATGAGGCATTGGAACAAAGAGATGTGTTTGCGAGCAAGATGCTGTAGTTGCTGCTGCTTCCATACCTTCCCTATCAAGGCGTTTGTGCCTCAATTGTTTATGCAGCTAGAGTAGAAGATTATCCCTTTAATCTTTAACTCTTTGTCAGAGTTAATATATACCTTTCGCTACTTTTCAGCACTCTCAATGTTAATATAAACCTTTTAATTTTTAACATTTTTGAAGTTAATATAAACCCTGTTAATGCTTTTCAGCTGATCAAATGCAGGAACGATCACTATGAACTAGTTGTGTTAGTATTTTTCCAGTCAATAGCCAGTACAATTTTTGGGTGTGCTAATGTCAACAGTCATAGTGATGACTATCCCTAGATCTAGCAAATGTTTTTGTATAAAAATTAATATCACCTTCAATACCTTATCTGAGACTCTTTAGACCACTGCTCACTAATCCAGACTTCTTTACCCATTGTTCCCTCTTGCCTGGATTTCATTCCAGCTGATGTATATCAACTCCATCTTTCGTCATTTCAAGTATAGTTAGCACAGGCTGGTATGTATAGCGCACTTTACTAAGTATTAGTTTCCTAGGGCTGTCTTAACAACATACCACAAACAGAATGGCTTAAACAACATTTGTTTTCTCATAGTTCTGGAGGTTAGAGTTTTGAAATCAAGGTGTTGCTGGGCTGTTTTGTCTGAGGGCTATGAGGGAAGGATCTATTCTAGGCCTTTCTCCTCATCTTGTACAGTTATATTCTCCTTGTGTCTGTTGACATTATCTTTCCTCTGTATTTGTGTCTGTGTCCAAATTGTCCCTCCTAGAAGAACAGTCACACCTAGAACAGTCATCATATGAGATTAGGGTCCACCCTAATGACCTTATTTTCACTTGATTTTTCCTCTATGAAGGCCTTAATCTCTAAATAAGATTTGAGGTATTAGGGGTTAGAATTCCAACATATCTTTTTTAGGATTGAAGGTCACAGATGGGAAACACAACACAGAAAGGAGAGCTTAAATGAAATCTTAAATGTCATTGTCATGGAATCCATTGGTCATGTCTGATTACAGAGTCTGGTTGTCTCCTTTATTTCTAAACAGCTACCATGTTTCTGGGATCAGCTCATCTCTCTGGATAGGAATCTAATATTGTGGGTCAGCCCTGGAGCCTAGTGGTGAAGGGAGTTAGATCCCATATGGCCAACTGCAGTTCAAAATCCTGGCTTGAAAAACATGCTGAACACATGTGCATGTATGCCTAAAATCCCAATAGGATGGAAAAATGGAGGAGAAGGGATTGTGGCATAACAATATTACTACTTTCTCCCACTTTGTTTCTCTACTTTTCTCTCTGGCAGGTGGATGTGCCCTCTGGCAGTTAAAAATAAAAAGGGAAAAAAATCTAATTATGCATATCTCTCTTTCTTTGAGATGATTAATTTTATATGTCAACTTGACTAGGCCACGTGTTGCCCAGATATTTGGTCAGATGCTGTCAGTGTTTCTATGAGGATGTTTTTGGATGAGAGTAACACTTAAATGAGTAATCCAAGTAAAGCAGATTGCCTTTTATTATATGGGTGGGCTTCATCCAATTAAATGAAGGCTTGAATAGAATGAAATACAGACTCTTGAGTAAGAGAATTATGTTTGAAGGCCTTCAGACTGGGACATTAGTTCTTTCTGGTTCTGCAGCAGCTTCCAGCTTGAGGACTCAAACTGAGATACAAACTCTGCAGATTTTGAACCTGCCAACCTTTATAATTATGTGAGCCACTTTCTTATAATCAATCTCTGTTTCTCTGGAGAACCTTTACTAATACACTCTTTAAGACCTAGTCCCATTGAGTGGAGGGAAATCACAAATGAAATAAATATTCTTTTAAGACCATGATTTTTCTGCCTCAGAGCCAGTCCTTTATTTTATTACAATATTCAACTCCCCTAATGTGAAGGCCCTATATATGAGTTATTACCCTGGGTTTCAATCCACCTATATGACCAAAAATTCTCCCCCATTGATCTTTCTGAGAATAAAGCAAGAGTCTGCCCCAAAGTCAATTCTAGCTGCTAATCTTAGTGCAATCATGGATTGAGAAATACTGAAGTCCAAACTTAGAGCACTCTGCTACATACTAAAAACTTCTCACATATTCTTTGCATACATTTAAAATCACTGAGGACTTTCTCAAATTCTTAGGGAATTTCATTTAGAGCTTTTTGTGTGACTAGACAAATCCTTTACCACCTACCTTTTATAGTTTGATATTGTATATATGTGACTCCATGAGGTGCACATGAGAGAAAGAGGTAGCACAAGAATCTCCCTTGACAAGGTCTCATCATTCTGTGATCCCCTTCCATTAGTCCTCCAGCTCATCAGGATCTTGAATATACATACACACACACATGCACACTCAGCATGTTTTAAATTAACTGAGTTGGAGATTTGAACATGTTGTCAGGTACGTGGCTTCCAGCATTACAGTTCTGTATGTTACTGACTATGTCATGAAAGTTAGGCCAAAACTCTACAAAATTTTAGCAGATCAAAGCTGATCTGAATCAGTCTTGAAAGAATATGTCTGGTTAGAAGAGGTTAAACTACTTCCCCTGACTCTGTGGCCTAATTTTCATCTCTACTCTAGATTTTCTGGATTCACTATGTTGTTATAGTACCTATTCACTCCTCTCCCAAAGCTTTGTGGTTCTCCTTTAAAAATTTCAGTGTGGACAGAAATGTTTTTCCTTGGCATAACTGAGACAGGCTGGTATTTTCAAGAACAGCTTTACTAAACATGAGGGAAAACAGAAAAGAAATAATTACAGAAAACATACACAGTGTAAAAATAGCCAAGTTTCCAACTGAAGGTTTCTGTTTCTAAAAATTCTATTTGAAGCAGGAAAGCTTTACTGGGCCTCACTTACCCTTAGTCAACCACATCCCTTAATTTTCCTATATCCTGTCTGGACTCCTTTTTCCCTACCACCAACACTTCATCCATTTTTGAGCCCTATGATCTAGAGCCTTGAGGTCACGGGCCAGCTTTTCAGCAGTCTCTGGAGTGATAGGCTTCTGTTTGTTCTTGGCAAGTTTCTCAATAGTAGAAGGGTCATCTCTGAGATCAATTTGGGTCCCAACAAGCAAGAAAGGAGTCTTTGGACAGTGATGAGTTATCTCAGGCACCCACTTTTCTTTCACATTTTCAAATGAGGATGAAGAGACCACTGAAAAACGAACTAGAAATACATCTGCTTGTGGGTAACTCAGTGGTAGTAATCTTCATAATCCTTTTGCCTTGCAGTAACAAAAAACTCAAGAGTAAATGGCTCTCCATCAATCATAACTGTGACTGCATTGTTGTCAAAAACATTTGGTACAGGGAACCAGCAGTTAGTGTAATGGCTATGTCACTGGATTCCCACATAGTTGACCGCGGTTCACGTCCCGGACCCAGTGACTTAAAACTCACGCCGGGCGCGTGTGCGTGCATGCCCAAGATCCCAAGAGGAGAATGGAGGAGAAGGGATTGCGGTGTGACCATCCCCCCTGGGGGGTGATTTCTCGTTTTCTGTCTCTCTGTCTCTCTCTGTCTGGCGAGTGCACGTGCCCTATAGCGAAAAAAAACTCAAAAAAAAAAAGAAAAAAAAACCATTCGGTACATATTCAGATGGAAATTTGTTTGTTGTGTAGGATATAAGGAGACATATTTTACCAACAGTACCATCGCCCACAACAGTGAACTTAATTGCATTCCTGAAATTGTATATCCACTTTAAATATTTCCAATTTGATGCTGATCTCAGCTTCTCCATCAGGGCATTGGCTGCACTGCATGGGGTCTTCTCAGCTGCTGGACAGGCCTAAGAACATACTTTTAAAATTAGAATTCTCCTAATAATATATCTTGGACTCACAAAGAGCTGCCAAAATGCTGGATTACAAGAGATTTTCAACTTTTGATGTTTAAGATCCATTGGGTTTCAAATATTGGTCCTTCTTAATACTGATATTAAATCAGCATAAACCAAAGTGTATTCTAAGAAATGATTCCTAGGATAACAACTATTCTCCACAATGGCAGGTAGCATTATGTGGTGAAAATAAACTTGAGGAACGTTAGGTTAACTAAGTCTCATAGTTTTCTCCATTGAATAATTTCACAAACCTTTTCACATAGTCAAGAAATATTAGGCACCTAAAGTTCCAGGTAATGTCCTAGGTGCTGAAGAAATCCTGGTGAGGAATTAACAAGATAGGTAACACCCTGGGACCAGCAGCTAGCGTAATGGCTATGTCGCTGGACTCCCATGTAGTCCACCACAGTCTGCGTCCCGAACCTGGTGGCTTAAAACTCACGCCAGGCGCAGGTGCGTGCGTCCCCAAGATCCCGAGAGGAGAATGGAGGAGAAGGGATTGTGGTGTGGCCATCTCCCCTGGGGGATGATTTCTCGCTTTCTGTCTCTGTCTGTCCGGCGGGGCCCCGTGCCCTAAAAAAAAAACCCCTCAAAAAAAAAAAAAAAAAAGATAAGACCCTTGCCTTGCCCTCATGGAATTCATTTCTCTTTTTTTGGGCAATGTTCACCAAAAAGATAAACAAACAAGGTAATTTCAAATAGTGGTATGAGGGGACTTCAAAAAGTTCATGGAAAATGGAATTAAATTTGTATTTTTTTTTTTTTTGAGAGATTTTCACTGTAGGGCGCTTGCGCTCGCCAGACAGACAGAGACATAGAGACAGAAAGCGATAAATCACCCCCCAGGGGGGATGGTCACGCCGCAATCCCTTCTCCTCCATTCTCCTCTCGGGATCTTGGGCACGCACGCACACGTGCCCGGCGTGAGTTTTAAGCCACCAGGTCCGGGACACGAACCGCGGTCGACTACGTGGGAATCCAGCGACATAGCCATTATGCTAACTGCTGGTTCCCAAATTTGTATTTATTTTTGACGCCAAAATTTTTTTAAACCCATACATAGTTTGTATTTATTTATTTATTTATTTAATGTGTGTTTTGGGGGCTGGATGGTATTACATCATTAATGCAACACCCTGAAAGGCTAACCCACCTAGGAAGGTTCCATGTTAATTTCCAGAGACTTTCCTGAACACACTAGGTGCACATGCCAATAATCCAGGGCTGGATGAGGCTGGAAGTGGATTGCAGTGTCAAACCCTGTTAGGAGTCCTGTCTCTCTGTCTCTCCCCTTGTCTCTCTCACTCATAACAGAAAGAAAGAAACTCAAAGAAGCATGCGCTTTTCAAAAATGTTTTGGGACCAGCAGTTGGCATAATGGCTATGTCGCTGGACTCCCACATAGTTGACCGCGGTTCGCGTCCCAGACCCGGTGGCTTAAACTCACGCCAGGCGCATGTGCATGCATGCCCAAGATCCCGAGAGGAGAATGGAGGAGAAGGGATTGCGGCGTGGCCATCCCCCCCGGGGGGTGATTTCTCGCTTTCTGTCTCTCTGTCTCTCTCTGTCTGTCTGGCGAGCGCATGTGCCCTATAGCAAAAACCTCTCAAAAAAAAAAATTTAAAAATGTTTTGAAGAACCCTTGAATAGACTGAAGATATTAAGGGGTGATGAGATGGAGACTAGCTGGAAGTGAAGAAGCCAGCAGGCCAAGGGAATAGTCCAAATACCTGGCAGGGAAAAGCCTGGCATATTGGAGGAAGAGAAAGGAACCTCTGTGGCCAAAGCTGAGTAATTGAGGGGAAAAGTGTATGTGATGAGGTATGATCTCAGAGGTCATGGTAAGAAGGAAGATGTAGTTGTTGATAATAACCTATAGTAGTTTGAAGAGCTTTAAGCCTTCCCATAATCTGATTTGCCATTAAAAAAAAATCTTGACTATTATGTGGAGAACAAAATTTAGGGGCCGAGATTACAAGTGGAAACCAGTTAGGGGGGTCCTTGCAGTAGTTTATCTGAAAGAAAATGGTAGGAGGGTCAGCGCGGGTAGAAAGATTTTGGATGGCTTCCACACACGCTTGACTAGAGGATTTCTGGATGGGCTAATGTGGGAAATAGGGGCCAGAGAGAAGACAGTGAAGACTTTGAGCTTTGGGACTGAACAATGAAATACATGGTAGTATTGACGAGCTAGTGAAGCAAAGGCTTGAAGAGGTGAAGGAGGGACCAGCGGATGATGTAATGGTTATGTTGCTGGCCTCCCACAGAGTCGACCATGGTTCGAGTCCTGGACTCGGAGACTTAAAAGTCAAGTGAGGCACATTTGAATGTGTGCCCAAGATCATGAGAGGAGACTGGAGGAGAAGGGATTACAGCATGGTGAAAACACTGTGAGAAGGCACCATAGTGCAGTAAGAAAAGTACTGGATTGTTGGAAAAGTCATGATGTATTCTTTTCCCGTTATGTATGCTAAAATGACTTTTCTGATAACCCAATAAAAGCTTTGCCGCTGAAAAGACTTGGGTTCGATCTAGGTCCACTTTCAGTTCTGTGATCTTGGAGCAGTTACTTAATCCTTTTTTTAGCCTCGCTTTTGTCTGTAAGCCAGGTAAGTGTAATACCTGCCTTATAGGATTCGGATCAGATTAAGTGAGATTGTATCTATAAAGTATCATGTATATAGTAGGTACAAACATTCCATTTCACATTTTATATTGCCCCTCTCTTAATTATTTGGGAAGATAAGGAATTATAGCACAGTGTTCATGAACCAGAATGAGAATGAGGCATGTGATGGCTTCATTTTCTGTATAATAATTTTTGGGAAAACATGTTAGTCCAATCCCTCTTAATAAAAAGCTTTTCAAAACATAGACCACGTACCTCTTTTGGAAAGCACACACTGAATAATTGAATTTTTCTTGATGATTGAAGACCTTGCCATGCCTTAGGCTTATTATTCTAAACTTGAATTCAAATTATTCATCTGCCCAAAAAAACATGCAAAAGGTGCAAAACTCAGTTGGAATGTGTTAAACTCAGGAAATATTCGAGAAGTTTGTTGTTTGTTTTGAATTGAAACCTTTCTTAACAATGTCTTTGTGGTTCAGACTTCTAAATAGTGCAAACATTCCATTTATAATTGAAGATCTTGGATATTGTGTTCTGGTTAAATAAATGATCGAGAGACTTTTTTTTTTTTTTTTTAATATCTACTTTGTTGAAGAACGTGCCTGGGGAGGAAATAGGAAGATTCATTTGAGGCCTTTAAGAAAGCATACGCTTGTAGATGAGGCAAAACATAAACTCATAAAAATGTAACTACAGCTAGAGCCAAACAAATGAGAGAAGGTTTTATAAAGAATTCGGAACTTGAAATAGAACTTGAACCAGGATTTGGGCCAACAGTGTTTGTGATAGGAGGAATGTTTGATGGGGACTAATCTTTAAAGTAGAGAAAACAGTTTGAATACTAAATGCTTGGGGATAGAAAATTTGGGCCATTTTCCAAGGAATTCTTAAGTTGTTCATTTGAGAAATAATTAAGGTGAATGTGAGATATTTGAGACACTTGTAGTTTCTGATAGTATGTGCTAAATATCCAGATATCTTGAAAAGTATTTCTTAGGCTCTTCTAGTTATAGGAAACTGATTTGCTGTGTATTCTAATATAAATTAGTTTATCTCTGTGGGATGATAATATGTAGGTCATGAGAGTAATTACAGGGCTTCCAGTTTGCCTATTATTAGAGGCCTAGATCCACCTCTTGAACATCAGAGATGTCTGGTACATCAGATAGTTCTGCCAAGATTCATTCTCCTTTTTAGAAAGCCTGAAGAACTATGGATAGGTCTTGGGTTTGGACACCAATTCCCCTCCTTAAACATTTTCAGCCAAAAGTGAAGAGGAGGAAGAGAAACAGGTTTTTCTCATGTCTTCACTTGCCCCACCTGCCCCTTGTTTTCTAGCCCAGCCTCATCTTCATTTCCATCCTGCATTAGCTCCTTAAAAACAAGGTCACTTTCCTCTGAGGGAGAGGGAACATCTCACCTAATGAATGGTCAAATGTACTTGCACCCTCTTTCTTTATGAAAGTGATGAAGGAGAGGAGATCTGTGCACAACCCTGCTGGCTCAGTCTGCTCACTGAAACCAGCCCACCCAGCAGAGGTAAAAGACATGACACAGCAGTGTGTGTTCTGTCTACATTCAAGTATCTGGGCAGTGAGATCCTTATTAAAAATTGCTAAATAGATACTCTCTTGAACATAGCTGACACTAGACTGATTCTGATAAGAGAAGGTCGATGAGATTCTTGAACCCAGCTTTCTACATGAGAAGCAAATGTAGACTGTGCCAAGGAACATGGCGTTTTTTGCTTTTTCAAAGAAGTAGACATCTGGGACCAGCAGGTGGCATGGTGGTTAAGGTGCTGGACACTCCCACATGGCCGACCACAGTTCGAGTCCTGGACCTGGTGGCTTGCCTTCTCACTTTCTCTCTCTCTGTCTGTCTCTCTCTGGTCAAATTAAAATAGATGAATGAATAAATAAAATTAAATAAATAATCCTAAAAATTATTTTTTTTTTACAAAAAAGGAGTAGACATCTCATTTTGGTTTTCTTCCCTGTCCAGGCCAGGGTTTACTGCTAGTCTTTTCTTTTTGTTGTTGCTGTTGTTTTTCCATATGTAACTTCTCTGATTTTGCCCTTCACTTTCAACTATAATGCAAAACTGCTTCTCATTTGGTGAGAAAGCCCTTTCCAAACATGGCACAGGGTCAGAGTGGTAGAGCTAGAATTTAAAGGTCATTGGATACACCCTGCTGGCATTTGAGATAAGGAAAATGAGCCCCAGAGAGATAAAATAGCCCTGGGTAGGGATGGTGGGGATGGGAGACAAGCAGTTGAGGGGTTATAAAGTGATTCACATGTTTTCAGCATGCTATCACGTATGTATGTGAGATCTCACATAAAACCCTGAGATGTAGGTGATATTATCATGACCATTTTACGGGGGAGGAAAATAACCCAGAGGATTGTGTAGGGGAGAAAATATATACTTTTTCATTAAGGAAACAGCCCATAGCAAAGCCTAGTAACTGAGCAGTTCCAAACCCTGTTCTGTCGGGCTAGTCACAAAGATCAGTAAGACACTGCCTGCACACTCACATCTGTTAGGAGACGGTTGTCAGTCTCCCCCAAGGCCATGCACAGGAAACCCTAATACTATCCAAAAAAATCACTTGACCCTTGGAGGGACGGAGTGCAATACAACCTTTTGACTATCTCTAGAAATGGCTGTGTGGAAACCTTGACAAGGGCCAGCTTTTCTGCAGAGGGAACTATTTATTTTCTTAGAGATTTTTGCTATAGGGCACATGTGCTCACTGGAGAGACAGAGAGACAGAAAGAGAGAAATTACACCCTGGGAGGAGGAGATGGCCATGCCACATTCTCTTCTCTGTTGGTCCCAAGGAAACTACCTTTAAACTGAATGAAGCTAAGAGGTTTTTTTTGTTTGTTTTTGTTTTTGTTTTTTTTTTGAGAGGTTTTTTTCTATAGGGCGCGTGTGCTCGCCAGACAGACAGAGAAAGACATAGAGACAGAAAGCGAGAAATCATCCCCCCAGGGGGGATGGTCATGCCACAATCCCTTCTCCTCTTTTTGTTGTTGCTGTTGTTTTTCCATATGTAACTTCTCTGATTTTGCCCTTCACTTTCAACTATAATGCAAAACTGCTTCTCATTTGGTGAGAAAGCCCTTTCCGAACATGGCACAGGGTCAGAGTGGTAGAGCTAGAATTTAAAGGTCATTGGATACATCCTGCTGGCATTTGAGACAAGGAAAATGAGTCCCAGATCTCGGGATCTTGGGCATGCACACACACGCTCCCAGCGTGAGTTTTAAGCCACCGGGTCCGGGACATGAACCGCGGTCGACTACGTGGGAGTCCAGCGACATAGCCATTACGCTAACTGCTGGTTCCTAAGTTAAGAGTTTTTGAAATGTGTCTGTCATGTAAAAAATGAATGCATTAGAGTTGATTCAAGATTATTAGAGGCATTTGGAACTTAATTAAGAATGGAGATGGAGTGGGGATGAACTAGAGGTCTTCAGACCTCTTTTGATCTTATTTTTTCATTCCTCTTTGTGAATAGTACCCACTTCTGTGGCTCTACCTTTACAGAGTAACATTGGCAAGTATATACTCTTTTTTCTCCTCTTATTATTGGTACAAGAATCTGATCAGTAACTAGATCATACCTTGATGGTTTATAAACATTATCTAGAACTTTTGTTTATCGACAAGGGGTGGCAAACCACACCCTCTGGGCTAATGTTGACCTGCTGCCTGTTTTCGGGGGCTCATGAGTTAAGAATAGTTTTCATATTTTTAAATGGTTGGAAAACATCAAAGGAAAATTACTATTTTATGACATGAAGATAAAATTAAATTGAAATTTCAGTGGCAACAAAGTCTTATTGGAATATTGTTACTTACCATTTTCCTTTTATTTATAGCTCCATGTTGTAACATGAAACTGAGACTATGTTGCTCACAGAGCTGAAAGATATTTATTATCCACCCCATTATGGAAAAATCTTTCCTAACACCTGTCTTAGAGCGCTAATCATACTGCATGAGAAGCTTTGTCTATTCATACCCATCTTCACAGCCAGACTTTTGAACTTATAGAAGCATCCACTTTGCTTAGAATGAGCCTTGCTTCTCCTGGCTGGCACTCTTTCAATATCTGTGGAATGAAAAGGAAAATTATTGAATGGTATGGGTTTGGGAAAGTCAGTTCTCCTTTTTGGGCCTCAGTTTTTCCTCTTGTGAAATGAGTTGGTTAAAGTGACCTTGATCTCATCTAGTTCCAGCATTCTGTATTTTATATTAAGGTTACTGCAGCTAAAAATAAATGTCACATTGGGTTCATTGAACTCCAGCTTTGGATTCTCCCTTAGTGACCTTCTGACTATTGGTTGGTTTCCCAGATCTTTCAGTGTCATGAAGGGAATGTCCTTGCTAGTTCACTTTGCTGGGGCATGTGATGCTAATATGTTTGGTATATGCATTACATGTAGTATATAAATTCGTTACAAATCAGTAACTTCCTTTCTTTATGTCTGCCTGTCTTGTGTGAGTCTAGTGACATGAACAACTTTCTTGGGGCCTGGTCACAAAGAATCTGAACATGTGGAATCCCAAACTACAGTGGATTTATGGCTGCTCCTTCACCTCCCCACCTCCATATGGTAGCCCTAGAAAACAACTACTTAAATGATCTCACTACTTAGAGAAACATACTACGTAGAAAGTCATGGCATTTTAAAACCAAACAGAGATTAAAATCCTTATCTAAAAAAAATCCGTATCTAAATTTCACAAGTGCACAGAGCCACACCCTCAGGTGGTTTTCAGTGAACATCTTCATAGTGCAAGGCAAGGCCTGATGTGATAGTGATGCGTTTAGATTTAAACCATTACATTGCACTGTTTCCTCCTAGACTGTCTTTGTCTCTCACACCATCATTGTTAAGAAATGGTCAGAATCTTAGAAGTGAGGCACTAGTGACATAAGGAGATGTGTTTGCCAATAAATATGCTCCCGTGAAGGCTTTCTCTAATGAAGCCAAGACCAGCCCTCATGCAACCGGGGAAACTTTTTTCTGGACTCTTCTGTTCCTTTTTCTGCTCCTTCTCCACAGTTTTATAACACTGCCCACTGATTATCCTGGACTTCTGCTGTGATGAGCCCATTGTATTGGATTGGTGGAAAAGTCATGGCATATTATTCTGGTGTTTTTTTTTTTTTTTGGAGAGGTTTTTGCTATAGGGCGCGTGCGTTCGCCAGACAGACAGAGACAGAAAGCGAGAAATCACCCCCCAGGGGGGATGGCCACGCCGCAATCCCTTCTCCTCCATTCGCCTCTCAGGAGCCTGGGCACCCAGGCACACGCGCCAGACGTGAGTTTAAGCCACCGGGTCCGGGACGCGAACCGCGGTCGACTATGTGGGAGTTCAGCGACATAGCCATTACGCTAACTGCTGGTCCCTTTTTTCCTTTTTTTTAAATCTATGCAAATGCATCATGACTTTTCCAGAGACCGACTAGGAAGCACTTAAGCTTTCTGTTCATTATCTCCCTTTCCTTCCTTCGTCCTCCCTTCCATTCTTTCAGGTTTTTGCCATGAGCTGTGTGTACTTGCTGGAGAGAGACAGTGAGAGGGGAAGTGAAAAATCACTGCCCCAAGGCAGGATGATCGTGCTTCAGTTCCTTCTCCTCCATTCTTCTCCTGGGATTTTGGGCACACATGTACATGCACCTGGGATGATTGTCAAGCCACCAGGTCTAGGACCTGAACCATGGTCAGTCATGTGGGAGTCGAGTGTATTAAGCACCACAAAATCTGCTGGCTTCCTCCTTCCAATTTTAAATGAAGAGCAGGGAGATATAATGGAAAAGGTTAAAGCCCTTAGAATCGACTTAGTCTGAGACTCAGCTCTTTTACTCACTGTTGAAGCCTTAGTTTCTACTACCAGCTAAATGGAGATAATACTTATCACCTATGTTTAATCACCCCAAGTCCCTTATCAACAAAAACCATGCATCATTTATTTTCTTGTATTGTGCACTGCTGGGTTCATAGCATGCAACAGACACTTGGCACAGGTCTCCAGAGTGACACTGAACTGACTTTACATATAATCGTGCATGAATCATAGAATGTGGGATGATTGAGGCCTATCTAGTTTGGTGTCGGCAGACATAGGCAGATGCACCCCACTTCCCATTTTTGTGCTAACCTGGACAGAAATGGCTGAATAGTCACTATATTTTTTCTAGGTAAGTGTCTTTCTTGACCTGAGTTTCACAATTTTCAGCAGAACTTTGTAGAAGCCAGTACCATTAGAGTGAAATTATCACTGGAAAACAAAATAAGTAAACGAAAACTATGTTTTGGATGAGTATAATTTATACCTTGTAAATGAAGAAACACACACCTCGAGAAGTAATGTGATTTGGTCAAGATCTCAGACTTGCATAGTAAGTTGGAAATAGAATATAGGGGTCCATGTTCTCTATCCACTATTTAACATTTGATTTCTAACAGAAGTTTCAATGCCTTCAGGTCAAGAAGAGCCTGGCAGTAATTTCTAGCAAGAATAAATTGGGGTTCTGTGTTTTTGTGGGGTTTCGGCTTTTGTTATTGTTATTGTTGTTATGATAGGTGGACCATGTGGCTGGCTCATTGATAATTCTGAAATCAAATCAGTTGCTCAACACACTTTCACCAGAGGCACACATCCAGGCAAAGGTACAGGCCCCAGAGACATAGACAGATGAAAGGAGAACTCTGCCCCAGGGCTTATAGTACCATAAACAAACAGTGGAAAAAAATCAGATAAGTAAGTAGCAGAGATATGCTTAGAGTTCTACAGGGCAAAAGAGCATGATCACTCTTTGCCCAGTGAAGAAGGGTTTGAAAAATATTCTATGAGAGAAAATTGTAGGGACCAGCAGTTAGTGTAATGGCTATGTCGCTGGACTTTCATGTAGTCGACCACAGTTCGAGTCCCAGACCCGGTGGCTTAAACTCACGCAGGGCGTGTGTGCGTGCGTGCATGCCCAAGACCCCGAAAGAAGAATGGAAGAGAAGTGATTGTGGTGTGACCATCCCCCCAGGGGGATGATTTCTCTGTCTCTGTATCTCTCTCTCTTTCCAGCGAGCGCACACACCCTATAGCAAAAACCTCTTAAAAAAAAAAAAAAAGAAAGCAAATTGTGTGTACAAAGGCATGCAGGCAGGAGAGCCCAGCCTACTTGGATACTAGCAGAGAGTTCTGTTCGGAAGGAGCTTCAGTCATATAGTAGATGGAATGGAGAAAATAGGGGAAGGAGGCAATGTCAGGAGAAGGATCTAGAGAGAGAAGCAAAAGTAGGCTGCTTGGAAGGAGTCCTCAAAGGCTGAGAAGACATATACATAAATAATTACAACATGTGATAGAGTGCTTTTCAGAGGATTACAGAAAATGTGGGAGGGAACCAGCAGTTAGCGTAATGGCTATGTTGCTGGACTCCCACGTAGTTGACCGCAGTTCGTGTCCCAGACCCGGTGGGACATGGGCGCATGTGTGTGCGTGCCCAAGATCCTGAGAGGAGAATGGAGGAGGGACTGCGGCATGACCATCCCCCCTGGGGGGTGATTTCTCACTTTCTGTCTCTATGTCTCTCTCTGTCTGGCGAGTGCACGCACCCTATAGCGAAAATCTTTCAGAAAAAAAAAAAAAAACGGAAAGTGTGGGAGAACTCAGAGGCAGGAAAGATGACTTTCCCCTGGTAGTTAGGGATCATATCACTGAAAAGCTGGACAGGGTTAAAAGTGGTCCTTTTTTACTGTTATAATTCAAGAAGAAGTTAAAGATCTACAATATAATTATGTGCCCAGTCATGTTCTCTTTGGGTCATTTCTTCTTCTTTTTTAATCTTTTCTTTAGTAGACTTGATCTCAAATTCCAACACTACAGTGGGGTGCCTATTTCTGTTACATAACATGCTGTATATTTTCTTTTTCTTTCTGTTTTTAAAGTTCTTTTCAGCCATAGAGCATGTGTACTCACCAGAGAGACAGAGAGAGGAAAAGTGAGAAATCACCCCTCTAGATGTGGATGGCCATGCTGCGATCCCTTCTCCTCCATTCTCCTGGGATTTTGGACATGCACACACATGTGCCCAGCCAGGTCCCTGACCCAAACCATGGTCAGCCACATGGGAATCTAGCACCTTAACCACTGTGCAATCTACTTGCCCCAATATGCCTGTTCTTATCACTGTGTTACCAGTGCTCAACACCTATGTGGTACTAAATAAATCTTTGTGTTACCAGTCTTTTACCTGATATATTTTCAATATGACAACAGCAAACTGTAGTTCTTTTCAGTGTTCTGTCCCTTAGTTGCCATTAGTACAGCTAAATTTGTCTTACATCAGGATTTCTGACTTAGAAAATATGGTAGCAAAAGCCACAGGCACAAAATAGGAAAGTTTCACTCTCATTTTCAAAACTTCTTCCTAAGCCAGCTGGAGTGTTGGGGCGAGAGGTGGGACAGACGTGTGATTTAGTGAGAGCACACCATTTTGGGCTGGAGAACTAAGCCACTCTCTGCTGCATGGTTAGTTGCACGTGGTTTCAGGCCAGAGCAGCTCCTCCATCTTGTTCTTTGCCCACTGAATACACAAACTCTGAGAGACTTGAATGAAAGTGGAAAGCATGAGCATCTTGAAAAAGATGTAGTTGGGACACTTATGTCCTTGTTAGATTCTTTCCAGAGCCCTGAGTGTTCTTTTGGGAGAGGAAGCCTACCACATCTGCAGGGATGAATGAGTGTGCTGGTTCATAAACTTAGCATCTGTTTAACACTGGCTGGAACGTAACACTGAATGTTCTTGATTATCACTGTCAAATGGATCACCAGTGAAAATCATTATCTCCCCCGTTATGATTTGTTGCTGTTGTTGTTCGTTTTTTGGAGAGGTTTTTGCTATAGGGCACGTGTGCTCACCAGAAAGACAGAGAGAGACAGAGAGACAGGAAGTGAGAAATTACCTCCCAGGAGGGATGGCCTTGCCACAATCCCTTTTCCTCTATTCTCCTCTTGGGATCTTGGGCACGCACGCACCCATGCGCGTTTGGCGTGAGTTTAAGCCACTGGGTCTGGGACTCGAACTGTAGCCAACTGCATGGGAGTTCAGCGACATAGCCATTACGCTAACTGCTGGTCCCTGTTTTTTGTTTCTACTATTCAATTTTTGTTTAGTTTTAGATTCAATAGTTGAAAGTACTAGGTACATCTAAACTTTTTTTTTTTTTTTTAGGAAGAAGCTTGCTTTATTTATTTATTCTTTTAAAAAATTTTCCAGAAGAGTTTATGTGCTTGCCAGAGAAAGACAGGAGAGAGAGAAAGCACCCCCCAATAGGGCATAGTCATGCCATTTCTCTTCTCCTATCCTGCATTTCTCCATCCTTTTGGGACTTGGGGAATGCACACAAATATATACATGTACCTGACATGTTTTCTAAGCCACCAGATCTCAGATTTGAACATCAGGATTGGTCATGTAAGATCCGGCTCTTTTATTCTTGAGTTCTCTTGATTTTTACCCCCAAACAATTCACATGTGTGTTTCTTCTTGTCTAGCACTTTAATTGAAGCTCTCAGTCTTGGTGATTTCGAGTCTCTTAACCAATCTCCTAGACTCTAAGATCTTTTTATCAGGCCAGTATTTGCATTGCTAATGAAGAGAGCTCCCTAAAATATAGGCTAAACTGTGGAACTTTCCTCTGAAGTCATAGGAAGCTCTTACTGCATGGGAATAAAATGCAAAAGCCTCAATATGGTATTGGAGCCCACAATGAGTCTTGACAGTTCTTTATGAACCAGATTTTGGATATGAAACATAAATAGAAGAAAAATAAAGTTATTAAATTAATTGGATATATTGCATAAAAAATGTTATCCAAAAATCCACTGTAAAAAGAATGTGGGTTTTTGTGTATGTGTGTGTGTGTTTATGGAATGGGTATGGTATATATA